CCACCCTACAGCAGTTGCTTAAACAGTACCAACCAAAGACATCAAATATCATGGCCAAAAATCAACATCACATGAAACCAAGAAAATGACTTGAAGCAATATATATAAAAAGAATAAAACCAGAATTGAATAGGGATGGGGGTTATTTCATACCAAGTGTATATGATAATATCATTTAGGGAATAAAATAACATATCAGACTATCAGTAAGAAACCATAATCCACATATTAAAGAGAACAGATCAAGGAGAACACTCACATGGCTTCATCCTGTAATCATTATTATATTTATCAGTTGTTATTAGTTGTTGTTACTAGCTCTCTATATAAATATGCCTAATGTTTAAGATTGTATTTTTTGCTTGGTAACGATGAGAGAACACTCATTGAAACGTCGCAGTCAATAAATGTAGTAATTGTATGTCCATAAAGTTTGTTTTCCTTATACTGATCAATAACTAAATGCCTTGGAAAGATATCAAGTATTGTCATGACTTGTAATTCTTTGCTGGGTTAGTGAAGGTAAAATGTAGTCAAGATATTGACAGATCCAGATATACTCAACTAAAGACTCTTATAAATTTGAATATCTTAGAACCTAATTTAGTCTTTTTTCCTACTGCGCACACATTTCTGGCATTTTTGGTGAATTTTGGTTTGAAGCATAGATATGTATGATAAAAGCAAGTTCTCACAAACACATTGTTAAGTATTTGGAAATTAATATTGTTGTCTGTAATTCTAGAATTGTGAATCTCATTTAACAATTTATCCATTCCACTTGTCTTGTAGATGTATTTAATGATTTGGATTAAAATGTTTAAATTCAGCATTGGTCTTTTTAGTTGATTAATTTCTTTAATTTGCATTAGAAGTCTACGATTCTTGGTTATGAAACCGGTCAGTCTTAGTCGGAGAGAATCATTCGCCTAGTATAAGTGACACTTAGTGCGAAAGGTAATGTTTGCTCAAAGCTACGGCTAGCCAGCTGCCACCACAGGAATACAATCCCTCAGCCAGTCGAAAAGTTGCAAGCTAGCTGGTTGACGGGTCTAATTCCACATATTATTTCAGGGTTACAGTTCTAAAGTATTTAAAGATATTAAACCATGCCATAATTATACGTTACAGGTAGATATTTTTAAATGATTTCTATATATCATAATATCAGTGGCGTGTCTATAAACAATTAAGAGAAGAGACATGGTGGGGGTCACAGTATTGTAAAGGAGGGCAATGGCACAAGAAACTGAAGGAGTCGATGACAAAAACGATCACTGCATAATATACGGCTTCGTGGACTAATCTTTTGATTCAATAAGCCATGTGAATTCTCTGATAGATTATCAATAACAAGCACAGTTGTAGATTTGCGTCATATTCAGGAACGGCAAGTATGGCTTTTCTTAATTGTTCACAATGAAATTATTCCAATAGGTCGTCATTCGATCTTGATCATTCGTGTGGACCCAGCATGAAGTAGACACGGATTAGCTTGATTTATAGATAAGTTAAACCAGCCGGATCATGGAGCCAACAGAGATATAGATGATGTCTTCTTTGTGTACAACAAACAATTAAGCCTATAGGAAGAAATAAGAAAATAATAGATTTTGGTGAAATAAACTTTTTTATATTTATAGATATGTCCCCAGGGTGAAGATAGTATCACTCAGATGTTTCAAGTTTTTATACCAGGTAACTTAAACTATTCATTAATTGTTCAATATTGTACCGAGAGACACAATGTATGGTATAGGTAGAATGGAAGCATTAACTTAATTTAGATTTCCAAACTTGGCCAATTAGTGTATATATTCATCTTATAACCTTCCTATAATAGTGTAAAAAATATACAACAGAATCCATCTATTTTCCCCTAAATCCATAAAACTAAGTAAGTATCCTACTAAGAAATTAATAATCTTGATATATTCTCAAATCGAACTAAATTAGTAACACCGTCTATCTTTACGATTGTTATTAGTATAACTTGACTACTAATCTTGCCTATATTCCATTTCAGAATAGCTAATTTGTCTTGATATTTTATATGAGTTATAATGTGGTACTATATCACCAAGTAAACGCTTTGATGTCACCTTGCTCTACACATAAATAAAAACATATTATTTACGAGTTCTGATATTTCTTAATGTTTTATTTATAGCCTTGTTAACATGTAACATTTCAGCATTCAGAAATTCATTTCATTTGAAATTGATTTTTTCCATTGAAGTGAATTGTAATGAAATAGGATTTAGTACAATAAACGTAGGCTGATTATTTTCGTGATTATTAGAATTCGCGACAGAACTGGAATTAAATTTTTATTTTTTCTACTGATTAATTTCCATTATTTTTTTTATTATTTTTTTGCAGATTTGTCATTTTCATCTTATCAAAATCCATCTGTAAGTTACTTTTAATATTTTTTTACAAATGTGTGTCTTTGTTAGTATTTCAGTCCTGTCCGTTTGTCACATTTATCCTGCACTATTGATACAGATACAAATACAAGTATTTTAAATGCTATCACCTTTCCATTCAATTTACATTGTAGGACAATAAACAAGTTCATGTTATAGATATATCAAGTGGTTTGAAATCCTCATCCTTACAGCCAACCTCAACTGAATCAGAATCGTCTAATACATATATCATCTGGATAGTTGTTGGATCTCTAACCCTATCTTCATTCATCGTTTCATTTCTTCTATACAGAAAATTTGCGTCAGGTAAGATGATTTTAGAGTTACTGCGTTTGAATTTGTTAAAATGCGTTTAAATCGGCATGCTCGCTTTTTAGATAATGGCGGAGCGAAAGGGGGGTCAGAAAGTTTTTCGGGCAAAAACTAGGTTAGATATCTCCCCCCCCCCCCACCCCCCTCAGACGTAAACATGGCTCTGCCAGATTTAAAAGAGAGTGGGTATTTTCAATAAGATTGAAAAGATCTCGTTGAAGTTTGAAGATATTTTAGTGTATTTTCAATGATGTTACCTTAATCAGCAAGCAATCTTTGAAAAAAAGAAAGCCATTTTTTACGGGTCGTTTCATTGCACATACAGGTGAGTGTCATATTTCCCACTGTAAAAGTACACAGTTACCACAATGTTTCATCGTAGATTTGAGAAACGTTGGCCAGAAATTTTAACAAGGTCGATTAATATGTGGTCGTATATTGTCGTCGCCCCGGTCCGTCGGTCTGTCGGTCCGTCGGTCAATATTTCTTGTGAGTACTATAGAGACTACAGTTTTCATATGATTTTGATTAAACTTGGTTAGATTGATAAGATCTGGGTAAAGATCGAATTTGACGTATTTTCGATGGACGGTTTTTGAGATTTTGTCCTTGACTTTGTTAAAAAGCGTCGAAATTTGTTAAAAATAGTTCATGCGCAGGATTGAAGCTACCTATTTCAATATATGGCAATATATATATAATTGAATTCAAACTAATAAAAAATTATACTTTGGTCACTTAAGACTGTTTTATCATTTCTGACAGCTACCAGTGGGCGAATGTTACCTTGCCTGGCAAGCTATCTTTATTTCTTTGTTAATATTGACAGTGTATATTTTATTGTAGCCATCAATGTAATAATTAAAGCTCTACATATTTTAGAGTATTAGTCTTGATCAGATATGCGCATGCAGATTGTATCAAATTTTAGTTTCTCATCGATTCTTACAACAGATGGTTATTGAATGTTGTTAGTGTATATGTTCATAATTGTATGGCACATGTCGTTAAGAATGAATCGGTACAGCAGCTTTAACATAAAATGAAATAAATGGAATTTTATGCCCTACTTCTCTGCACCATGTGGGCTTAAAGCTGTTCTAAGTAGAAAAGGTACCAACTCACAAATGTAATTGAAAATATGGCAACCATATTTGAACAGTTGTGGATAAATTAAATGAAAACATTTTCGAACATGAACCATATTGGATTTATTTTTCATTTATGATCGGCATACATGGTTCGTAATAGAACTTTTCATATGAACTCGAAGGAAACTTATAAGAAATATGGCAATTTGAAATATTTATATTGGCTCATTGATACCATTCTTTGATAATCCGTAATATTTTTGTAAATGTAATATAATAAGTTAAGTGATATATTATTAATACTAATGAAAACTCATCGAATGCAAATTGCATACTAACATAAGGGCAACGATTTTCTTTAGAATGATATAACACTATGGTGGCATTTTCAACAAGCTTTATTTGTATAAATTTGGTAATAGGTCTACCCCTCTAAGAAATGGGGATAGGTTTTAAATCCCAAACTCTCTACCGCCCAAACCGCCAATAAAATTTTTCGCTAAAATTAGTATTTTTTATTTTAAGAATCGCAGATTTCAGACTACGAAACAAAACATTTTCAAATTCGCTAAAATTATTGGTGACGTCAATGTTATGGAATCACAGGTTTTTTTTTTAAAAATGAAACAAAAAAATAAATATTCCTTTTCTTTTGCACTGAGATATTTTTCCTCTGATTCAACGAATGATCCGAATAACAAGTTTAATCCATTTCCACCGTCAAAAATATATGTACAAAACCTAGAACAATGTCGTTTGATTTTCAGAGTTACTTCCCTTGACTGTCGTTAGAAGGATGGCAACTTGTAACTTAATTCGCATATCGTAATGTATTTCGGTTCCATCTATTGATTGAAATGGATGTTAAGAAAAATTCTATATACATAACCTGTAAATTTATGCGGCATTAAACCATTCAATTGTTTTGAACTAAAATTACATTATGAAGTTCTACGAGAAAAATAAAGTTAAAAGCAACACTGTTGGAATTTCCGACGGCTACCTAACCGTGGGCGTATGCTAACTTATATTCTTTTTAACTGAATATTCTTTTTCAACATTTTTTTTATTTTCTTATTTAATAGGTGGTAGTATCAAATGTCCTTGCAAAGAAATGAAAAGGAAAATTCTATTACATTTCGACACATTTACGTCTTCAGATACTTGTAAGTGTTCATCTTATTATTTCTGTTTGTAAAACTGTGGTAACTAAGGAGGGAAATCTGATATTGGGTTTCAAATTCCCACAAGCTTTTTTTATTATTGAAATCGAACATACCCTGACGTAGGTCTTATAATAATCATTTTACTTTACTTTTCCGAAAACGTTTTCATACTGTAACGTTGTTGTCTTGTATGTTAAGTTGGTGAGCCAGAGAAGACTAGAGAGTTTTAACAACGTTATTTATTAGAGAGAGACATACTGAGAACTTCCTTTTTACAGTGCGCATGCGAGGTACATTAAAGGGAGATAACAAGTAAATACAGTTAAACAGATATCGTTACACATACAACACAATATGGCAAATGTCAAAGATTTCTATCTGACGTTGAAAACATAGATTTGAAAGTATCCGTAATAGAATAATATATTCATTCTTAGTATAAATATATAAGTATTTATTAGTATGGACTATATTGTTTGACTTTCATGGTAATTTTTCTAAAAAATGAATTTTTCGCCAGAGTAAATTTCTCATTTATGTCAGTAGTGGGCGTTTTCCGTCTTTCGGGCATCTCATTTGGTTTGGACTTTTTCAAAAAACGGTGAGATTTTCAAAATTATTTTACAATTAGCCTAAAATCATATACTCAACTCTTCCATTTGATATAACGACATGGATATAAACATTTCAATATTGGCTATGAAGAAAGATGAGAGTCTTTCCACCAATCTCAATTTGATTAGTATTATAAATATCACATTATAGCTATTTTATGTATTTTTTCTAACAACAACTTGTGAGACTACAGTTTGATATACAAGATATTTATCCCAGAAAGTTGTATATGACAAGATTGATAATGAACTGGAATTAACATTTTTGTTGTCAAATAATAATGAAGTAGCTGACATGGGAATATTCTTCGTAAAAATAAACTGGCCAAGGTCCTATAGTACTGAATGTGGTATAAAAATATTGAAATCTATTTCTTTGTTCTGGAGAATAATTTGGTGAAAGTATTTGTTATTTTTGTGTCTATTGCAAAAAAAAACATTTGATAATAGCCATCATTTTCTAAGGTATTTGCAATTTTTTATTTGCAATTCATCTATATTGCAGGTGATATTAAGATGGGAAGAAGCATCGAAGAGGAAACTCGTGTTCTAGGTTCAAGAGATACCCCAACTGTACCTATATTTTACTATCCAGACAATAATAGTCACTCGGACAAGGTAAAGTGGTGGGCCACTAGGATACAGAAAAAAGCCCATTCCTGTTTTATTGTCAAAGTCATGTCCGTAATTGACGAATCATTTCAGGACATCTTAAGCAACGATGACTTCGAAATGTTCGGTGTATTGTTCATCATAAATTCAAAAGGATTGCACCAGTTTCTGCCTTGTTTAAAATTCCAAAATAAGTCCTCTCCAAAGAAACAAACAGTGGTTCGTTATTTAAAAGAGAGACACAATAAGGTATTTATTTTGGAATTATGTGACGATGAGAAATCCGATATTAGCGATATCCAAACATTATTAGACTTAGACAATGTCATTCAATTAAATGATGGCAAGGCGGATGACTCCATCAAACATATATTAAATCTTCTTAAGGATCAAGATTTGGGAAATCAGACATTTTCAAAGAAATTAGAGGTTCAGACATCTTTAGATGGTGGGTATTATTCAGGAGATAAATTTCCACAGCCAATAAAAACATTTTTCCCGCCAGAATTGGTGTCAGCCGACAGTGAAGGCAGCATCAATGATCGACTTGCCGCTATTAATAAAAGATGTTCAAAATATTATTGTGAAGAGGGTGTTTATGAAGTTGACTATTTGGGAGCCACTTTTACTGTTCATCAAGCTGCAGATTCCTTAAGTGTCTGATAATGATAAACATATCATTTGTTGGTCATATTGTCATGGAATTGTCATGTTATGCTGTGAAATGTAAATAGAATTAAGAATCGAAAAACCTGCTGATTATGTTATTACCAGTTGCAGATATTTCCTTGGTTAATGTAGTTATAATAGTTTATTGCACTATGGTTGCACACATTTTCTAATAGGTTTGGGGTTTTGTGTATATAACTACAGAAGTTAAATACTTATTGTTATGTATTTGTTCAGATATGCTTAGAACTGGACCTGTCACTTTATTTCCAAAACTGATTTCTGCTTTTACTCAATTATAGTCCTTGAAAGATCCATTTGGCCAAATACTTAATTCTTATTACCAAAAGCAGTTTTCATTAGTACCTCGTTATAATTACCAACTTTTAATGGTCATAAAAGCAAAGCCTTCGAACAATTTAAGAACAATGCGTCATAACAACACACAGTGACTCTTCTTGTACCTTTTTTGGACTTTATGTGTAAATCCCTAATTTGTTTTATAGTATGAATATTGACGCATGGCGATATCGTTGGCCAGTAAACTTCGTTTTAATCATTGAGCAATATCAAGGAAATCCCTTGACGAGTGCGTGTGGTTGCTGTTAATGTTAATGTTTCAAACACTTAGCAACTAGAATTTTTAATAAACATTTGAGTCAATTTATGTTACCTATTCGCACAAAGGCATGGCTATTACGATTATGTATATTATCTTGTCTGGCATGTTATGATAATCATTGACATTGCAGTCTGACAAATATTTTTTTTATTGTTTGTCTTTTCACATGGCAAGGAATTATTATAAGATTTAAACAATGTTACATTGTGACATTTTTAAGCGGGTCCAGCAATCACCATTTTTCATGTTATTTACTCAATTTGTGTAGCGCAATTCATTCTGTCCCTCATTGTATGAAAACTTGAAATCATTCACGATGTATCTCATTCGGTCTGCATGATATTCTCTCTATTTCCGCGTTTTAAATGGTATATTTCTTTAAATAAAGATTCTTACTTCGTTGGACAGTGTGAATTTGTGTGTAATGTTCAGGACTTTCATTGATATTGTAAAGAGCATAATGAATTTACCTCATCATTCAAATTTCATTTTATATAGAAAACTTCTTTATAGAGAAGTAGTAAGATTGATGATAATGAGAAAATTATCGTTATCATGTTTTACGTTGTTGCAAAAATTCATTTTGTCGTCGACCTGAGTGTTTGACGCAATCGCTGGAAATAGCCAAATTTTTATATAAGCAATCCGATTAAATCGTGTTGGACCTGAAAGTAGAACATGATCAAAATTAATGTTATACTGACCGCAATTTGATATTTCAGTCGTCGATACGCCCAATCCAGCAATTTACCCGATTCTCCCGATGCCATCTGTTACTACTGCTGAATATCAAGTTACTCTGAGATTCTGTCAGTCGTTAAGTTAAAGGTCAATCTACCTACCTTCTAGTAGGACAAGAAACATAATAACAATTACATTTATGGTTTGGGCATTATTATTTTTATTTTACTCATATCACATATTTAATTCTTTGAAACGGGTTTTATTTTGTTATATTGTTTTCAACCTACAGTTGAAGTTTGATTTTAATATTTTGTTTGTTTGATCGATTTATATCAATAATTACTTTTATTTTAAAATCTGTACCTTATTGATAAATCCAGTATATATTTTGACATTTTGAAGTGAGGATTACATATCCCAAGATGACAATAAGAATAAATGAAAATTGTGTTGAAACGTAATAGTTTTTTTCTATAATATTGACATGACATACCCCAAGTATGTATATTATGTTTTATTACTGTAGTTGTAGCTATAAATTCAGTCATAATCGAATTCACTTTCATTGTAATATGGTATCGAAACTAACATAACACAACCATATATATTCATATAACCTTCATCGAAAGAAGAAATGCGAAAAAAACTATTTTTTATTAAGGTATTCCTATTTAGCGGCCAGTAATAATTTTGTAGTATGTGTCAGTTAATGCTTACATGTAATTTTTGATTAAAGATATATTGAAATACATTGGCTCTCCAATTGCACTTCATTTACAATCAGCCCTTTATCTCAACCCATGTCTTTATCATATAGGCTACACTGGATGGAGTACATCGGATCACTACCAAATATTGGTGTTGTATTACAAGCAATATTTCAATCACCGGCTGATTCATCGGTTTTTTCCGCTATGGGAGTTTTGTATGGTGTAAGTGTATGGGAATCCAAGTGATGACGTAAAATGTATGAAACATTGGGCAATGAAGGATGATATTTTGATTCGAAAAATGAGTGAAACAGACGCCTTCTCGCGAAACTTAACGTTTTGGTCTCTGACAATCAAGAAAATACTTTCGTGTTTATTTTTAAAAAGAGTTCCTCCGTCAGTGTTTTAGACCTTGGTGTGGGATGCGTTGGGGCAACCTTATTTACTTACCTATTTCCGAACCTATGGCAAATGTTTGAGTTCTGTTTTTCTGAAATATACAAATAGTCAAATTTCAGCTTTTCAACTGTTAACTGTTAAAGATAGAAATTTATTTGGATATAAACACTGTTAGTGCAGTGATTCCTTTCATCTGGAAATTTCCATGTTTCAGCAATTTTTTTTTATTAGGTTGTATGTGTTTTTCTAAGACCCTGAGGTCTAATTAGTAGAAGTCCAAAGCTTGAACTAAATTGAAATAAATAAGTTAGGTATTTGTCTTTTTGGTCTATATGGCCTATAGAGAGGAAAATCGACCCTATTTCCTAAAATATGGCATTACCTATGGCAGACATATTTGAGTTCTGTTTTTTTATTTCTAAAATTTCAAAATAGTCATTTCATCTTTTTAGCTTTGTAACGGTTAAAGAAGAAATTTATTTGGATGTGAACAGAGTGCAGAGATTCGTTTCAACTGGAAAGTTCCATTTTTCAGTAATTGTGTTTTGTATGTGTTTTGTTAAGTCCCTGTGGTCTATCCAAACAATCTAAAACTTGATCCAGATTGAGTTATTTAGCAAAGTTAGGTATTTTGATCCAAGGGAGGAAAATCGACCTTATTTCCAAACCTATTTCCTAACCTATTTGGTAACCTATTTCCTAACCTATGGCAGGTATTACAAAAACTACTACTACTACTACTACTCGGATAACCAATCTTTCATGAAATTCTCGCCATGCCACTGATTTTATCTATGTACCTTATCCGGATAAAGTAATATCTCTTAAAGCTGGAGAAAATTAAAACAAGGTTGAGCTCTTTTTCAATGTCTTCCATGACTTTACTAAAGGGGAAGTAAAATCTTTCAACGTCTGTTTTAAATGAGAACACAAAAGATCTTGTTACTTAATTCACATAGGCTCTGATTTTCCTAGTAATCTCCCTTTAGTCATTATTTTGTTTTAGAGATGTGATATATTTGATTTTCTCAATGGAATGATGAGGCTATTAAGACTCTGAGAGACCTGCCTTAACTTGAGGCATGTTAATTATGGTTCATCAGACACTTTTTGTTAATTCTTCATGTTCATTTATATAGGCTACATAACTACTTGATCCAAACACGGGCATCCACGAAGAAGCATTAAATGATGAAAAGTGGCACTAAGTGATCAGAAGAGTAAGCATAGCCTTCAGGTTATCCTTAAACGGCGTGTTGGTAACTTGAATTGAGTTATATTATGATAGATCAGTAGATATTATGATGACCTGGATTACGATATATTCTTCTAAAGCAGCAACAGGCTACGGTACTAGATACCACTAATGATATACGTAAAATGTCTTTGTTTTGTCCAGAGTGATTCTATAAGAAATAAAAGGGTATACTGCTCTTGTACCATTTATTATAACCTATCCCTTGGAAGTTAGATTTTAATGTGTATAATGTGTTTGTGTGATTTGTGCATTTGGTAGATCATGAATACTTGAAACACCTTTTAGAGATTTGTGCAACGATTTCACGTTCAATGGTTCAAAACTTTGGCGACAGAAAGGCTTTTTATATGCAAACTTTTCCATGGCAAATTATGAGGTATTATCCCTTAGACCTATTTTTTAATCTACCCTTTGGATGATATTTTCATGGTGTGGACTTTATAGAACAGTTTGGGGACTTTGAGATTTTCATTAAACATCACTCGTTCATAACATCTGTCATTAACTAAATTCCACTGTCTGGAATAATCAAGTAAAAGGTTTCACTCTTTTATCTTATTTCCAGAATATAATCGGTATTCAACTAAGCTTACACGACTGTTTATGCTTAGCTCATTGAGCACGATTACTCATAAAAGTAAACTTTGTGATGATATTCCTTCACTCCTCTAGGGTTCATCATTTGTTTTCAAAGCAGATGCGAACAGGTCCATTGATATCCTTTACCGTTTACATTGCATGGGTCATAAATCAGCCTGTATCTAACCATTTCAACTTGAATGACAAGATGTCAAAAGATTACACTGCGAAATTTCGATAAGCGGTGAAGCTGGTTGTATTGAGACATTAAATACCCGATTGGACTTAATATCCACCATAATACAGGCATAGCATAGAATCTTGGTTTGTCCTGTTGAATACAACCATTAATAGAAAAGAAAGATAGTTCCTGTCATTATAAAAATTTACAAATTCTCCATTATCTAAATGTGATTTTTAGACCTTTAAGAAATAATTATGAACTGCCAGCAACTGACGTTTTTTTATATTCTTTTAAGAAACTGTTATATGTGAACTGCCTACATGTAAGATTTTTAATTTCACTGTATTGACCATTAATAACTATTATCAGTTATCAGGCTGGTAGTTGGAATTTTTCCTGCTACGGTAACAACAAGGAAGAGCGGAGGGTGGTTCGAAAAGTCTTTTTTTTATTTCTGCAATTAATGAAACCAAATTTCACACAAATGTGTACACCTCCAATTTCGTTGAGGGCACCCTGAGCTGAAGAATGGCCATAGATTGCTCAAACTTGTTTTATTGTTCATACTGTGCAATAAGCTTGTTAGATTTGATGATTTTGTCAAAAAAAAAAATTGGAGGAGTCCTTAAAATGATAGCAAATTTTGAATTTCAGAACTATGAGACCAACTATGAATTATCTTCTGTGATTAACCAAATTGTGTCATTGCACTCCTCAGTATCTGAACTCATTGTATTCCAAACCATTATCTTCCATAGAAGCTGAGAAAAAAGTCAATTGAGTGAATGAATCAAAATCCATTTTTTCTACTTATCATCTACTAACTGTCAGCGTCGAGTCAAACAAGGCAAGATCAAGGCCACCACTGTGATATGAAGTCTTCTCCACCTCTTTATGTCCAATTTTGGCAACTTTCGTAGCTTTCTTTGCTCTTTGTACTTGACCATCACCAGTTGTTTTTTCCAGCATTTGTTTCACACGTTGCTGGTTTGCAAATGATGTTTTCTTGACACAGTGCCTGGGACAAACCAACATTGAGCATGGATAAAAAATATGCTCTAGATCCTTTGTTATACTATAATATAGCTATAAAGGCAGCAGTCTTAACAGATGAACGGTATGCAAAACGACAAAAGCTCCAAATACGGCCATTTAGTGACTGACATGGGTTATGGGTTTTGGCTAGGTGACATCGACTCAGCAAATCCCGATCTGTGAGCCTTTTATATGTACTTTTCATGGATTCGGCTTGTGGTTTTGTCACCCTTGGCTTATGTGGTTGTGGTTCCTTTCCTTTGACAATTAACAAATTGAATTGGCACCATAATATCACCCCTTTTGGACAGAACCCATGATTGTGAGCACCATTAGATGATGCGGAATGTAGATGCCCACATCGCTTCATACATGGCAGCAATATTAAATATATATATATCCTATAATACAGAGCTTATTTTTTGGTTCGTATTACCACGTGGTTGTGTTTTAGTGACACGGAGAAATGCAGTACTATCACCGTCAGAGAGAAATCGGCGGTATCGGAGATGTGGATCATGTTATGTTAACATTGATCAGATTTTCAATGCGGCTGTAGATTTTGTTGCTCCAGATGATGTGTCAGTATTTCTCTGACACTGTCTTGTTAGCATCATTTACCTTCATAGCCTTCACTGTTCTCATCAGGCGCCAGTTCACAGCCCTAGCAGAAATTAGACAGAAACTGAAAATCGAAAACATATCCACTATTGATTACCATGGCAATAACTATGCCATTGTGACATCTATGGCCACGTTCTACAATGTACCGTCATACACGACACCTAGGTCTCCAGGTTGTGACGGTGGAGTTAATGGTATCATTACTGCTAGACTCATAATCTTGAGTTACAATTTCCTGGCTGTAAAGTGTTGCAACTATTTCTCTCACTTCAGACAAGTTTTTGGCAACGGTTTTGAGTGAAAATTGTAATTTAGTGTAATTTAGAAGAAAGTGATCGAAAGGTTTATTTTTATTCATCAATTTAGGGATGTTAAGAACATGTATGCTGAATAAAACCTCTAGCTTGAAAATAACGTATTCCTAGTATCTTACATGCCAGGACAAATTTCAAATTCATTGAAAAAGATAGCCTTGAACTGCCACTTCCAGGTCCAGTGCTGAAGGAAGTATCTGGACTTTTATCATCATCAGGTACTGCTTTGGTTGAGGTGTACACAGATGGTTGAAATTTGTCAAGGGGCGGACAATATTCGTTAGAACACTTCATACCTAAAACAGTGGCCAAACTTTACTTCACTGATAGACAAACTATTGTACCCACAATCCTGGTATTTGGCTCTTTTTTATCAGATCTGATAGGGCAGAAACTTGAAGAAGACCACAGTTGTCTGAAGAGTCAGAGAATGGAAACCATCGAGTCGGGTTTTGGTTGCGAAAACATAGTTCCCTATGTCTTCTAAGAATTCATTCGTCACGCCTTCAAAATCTGTTTCAGAAGTATTCCTAGCATCCGAAATCAGTCTGTCATATATGTAAGATATACCTGTATGGAGGGGGATCGTTGCCAGAAGTATTTACAAAGTCAAACTTGAAAACAAGTTATATTTCAACATTAAAAATCAAAAAGTCAATGTACTAATTACAAAGTAGAGATATTGATAGTTTACTTTTCAAACTTTATTTCACATCAGACACCATTCAAACTTTCCTTTATGAAAATGAATTCTAAACTTTGCATTATTGACATTATCAACTATGTCTTCTTGATTTTGCATTCGTGAAAGATGTAAGTTCGACCACTGTATTCTTGAGAGTTGTAAAGTCAACTTCTGCATTCTTGAACGTTTACCATATAAGGTAACGTGACCTACTTCATTTACATAATTCGGAAATTCAACGGAAACTAACGGAAATATAAATCAATAATTGCTCCTTGTCAAAGGGATTTAACTCTAAATAAGCCTCAAAACCGGATATTCAAATGCGGCATTGGTCAATTGACACTTCGTCATTACTTGTATTGTAATTGTTGTAATTGTTGTACACCTATTATGTTAGATTGGCATCTCAGGACCTCACTGGCACCAAAAATATCATTCATAATTCCATAGCAGACCATAGGAAAAAATTTGACATTTTTCAAAAATTGGCCATGTAGGGGCTTCGTCATTGACTGGCCAGTGACAGAGTTAGGCATGAAAATACCATTATGTTGGAATTTTGGAGATATTCATAGGTCTGAAGGCACTATGTTATTGAGTTTGTGCCAATTCCATCCAAAATTTTGCCATTTTTCAATATCCATATTGGCTATCCGTCACTGGCCGAAGAAATGTTGATAACTATGTAATGATTCTATTCATTACACGACTTTATAGAGGTTTCATTTGAATAAGAAATGAATTACAAATTTTCGTTTTTTGATTTAATTACAACAATTACAATCAATCCAAAAAATTAGTGTATCCATCGGACACATAAATTGGCCGGCCACTGAAGTAATGACGAAGTGTCATTCACTCCGCTAAAACATTTTATGCAAATGGAATGTAGTCCAAGCTATTTTTAGAAATCTTCTTTCTCTCTCCCTTTTGGGGTTTTTGCATGCCTATTTTTGGGTAAAATTTGGTCTAGATTTGGAATTTGAAAAATTGCATTATCTTTCAGATTTGGTTAAATGATGAGAGACCTAAAGGCGGAAGGCTAATTCTAAAAATAGTCGTTTTGTGAAGTGCCAAACTCTAGCGGATGAGTATAACCGGTAGTAGTCTACTTTCAATTTTAGTAGCTCAAAATTTTCATGGTCATCATATAATGAATTTTTAGGAGACATTGAGAATTGGTCAGGCTTTCATTCGACATATTGGAAAGCTTTCAACGAGATTTCTGGAAAAAGTTATAGAAGGTTGAATTTCGTGTTTTAACATGGGAAGAGATGACAAATGAATTAGTGAATTGACAAGGAGCAATTATTGATTTAAATTTCCGTTAGTTTCCGTGAATTTCCGGATTATGTAAATGAAGTAGGTCACGTTACTTTATATGGTTAACTTTCAAGAATGCAGAAGTTGACTTTACAACTCTCAAGAATACAGTGGTCGAACTTACATCTTTCACAAATGCAAACTCAAGAAGACATAGTTGATAATGTCAATAATGCAAAGTTAAGAATTCATTTTCGTAAAGGAAAGTTTGAATAGTATCTGATGTGAAATAAAGTTTGGAGTGGGCCTATCAGTACTACTAGCCTACGACCCGTTAAACATGGTCCTCTGGCCTTTGGGCTATTATTTCGTTTTTTTAGGACCTTCACGCTTCCTCTGGCCAAAAGTATGTTTCGTTCGAAATTTCCGTGAACTATTATCCCTATTATCGACATTACTGTTATTTTTATTTGCATTTTCGCTAGTTGTTTCTTCTTCGTGGACTTTTACTGTTAGACTGATGCTAAGAAACTGGATATCAACCTATCCGAAAATAACAAAATCACAGTTTTGATTGTTTGTACCACATTTATCAACATTCTGACATTTTTCTAACCATACGTCCGCTTAAGCCGCAATCTCAAACCACCACCGTCAGTAACCGTTAACCCTTGGAATCCGCCGTCATTATGTTTCAACTGACTGCCGGTGTGGAAGTGCAGGTGAATGCTTGAGAGAAGTCGACTTTAACGATTGATTTTACTGTATGAAACTTCTGCATTTTAATTGTACAAATTGTAGAGTTAATCAATAAATCAATGTGCGAATTGGGTCAAATTGGCGCGAGATGCAGAAAAAATGTCAGGAAGACATACTAATATTCCCCTTTCTTTTATAAGTTTCTATCTAATAAATATGTTAATATAAACCGCATAAAGCAGTAGTAGTCATGTGAAGAGAGAATTTAGCAGATAAGATTTTATATCTGCTGGAGTTGGACCCAGTAATCGTAAGACTTGCTTACAGGTCTACGTGTTTTGCATGCCCTACTATGTGAGCGCTCGATAAGATTTAAGAAAATTACCATTCTACCACCGATTAAGCTAATTATGATGTACGTCGCCATGTAATGTGTAAAAGAACTTAAGCGGTTATTCGATCAAATTCTGCCTGAAGCACCCGCTGGACCATGAATAATTTGCGTTGAAAATTACACACTTAAACTGAGCCGATCATCGGTTTCAAGCAAGATTGTCAAACACAGGGATACGTTATGTTTTAATAAGAACATCCACTGAGGTATGAGGCAGTAACACCTTTACAACGGGCGGCATAACCATAACTGAAAAATGATTTGATTGAATTAGTCATTATTATGGACATGTTTCTGTTATGCTTTACAAATCTTATAAGTCGAAGGACTTTGAACAAATATTTTCAGTGATTTCAGAACATACATTAAAAGTTATAAAAATGGAACAATAAATGTACGAAAGTAAAAAAAAAATACATAGTTCAATGTAGCAATTACAAGATCAGCTAGATCTGGTACCTTAAAACTGCAGACAGGACTTCTAAAAGGACACTGGTCAGATTGGTGCTATTTGATTCCCCCTTGACTTTGTATTTCCATCCACTTAATGATTCCTAGAAACGCCACTTCTCAGAGTTTCCTACATAGGTTCTATTATTGGCGTCAGATAGAAACTTGGAGATGCTGTTTAAAGACCATGGTCCACCTTTTTCAATTTGAAAAGTGGTCCGAACGACAGTATAGAATATCAAGGAGATTTTATAGATTGAAATTATGGAAATTATATTAAAGTCTAGACATGTCAGGCACCGACATTATTTTTTGTATTATACTATTATTTGATGGTTCGAAGACTAAATAAATTATACACAGGGAATAATATTACAACTCAAATTAAACATATTTAGGTTGCAAAATTGCTAGATATCTTATCGAAATTAAGTAAATCTTGTTTTGTGCTCGAAATATTCATATCGCCTTTGATCTTCTAACTTCAAGGAAACGTTGATTGCCAATGTTAATAATAAGAAAGGGTTTCATATTCCAAAAACTGTAAATGGTAACACTTTAGAGTGTAGTTTACTCTCGGAATTTTGTGATGTGTTTTTGTGTCTTTTATCTCGAGCTCCCACAAATTAGAAAATAAATATCGTCATATTAACACGACACAATACAAAACTTAATACTTACGAGACTTTAGCCATATCATGATGTTGCCATCCCAAGAGAGTTTTCATACATCGTACATCATCACTCAAGCTAGAGTTTTCAAAATCTGAATTGTTGAAATAATGGAATTAATAATGAATGCTGTTAACGGTATCAATAATGATTGTTAAGTTATATATAATACAGGTCTGAGACTTCAAATTGTGTATGTAATATTGAGAAGCAAAGACGGCTGTGTGGCCAGAGAGGCTATGCTTACTCTTCTAGACACGTGATTCCACTTTTCTTAATTAAATACTCATTTATAATTAGCAAACTTCCTCATATGAATCGTTCATTTGCTGCCACCAATGTTTTTGCAAAGTGTTGTTTTGGATTTCGAGTTTCGTTTTTGAGTGGGCAGTTTTTGAAGATCCAACGTTTCAATCCAATCTATGAACTTTTACTTACCAGTACATGGGTGTTTGCAACCGTTTTTGGTTTTTCTACCATTTCTTGGATCACAGTTCCAATAGTCGTTGATCTGGAAGATTCCGTGATCAGCAGAACCATCTCTATTTACATTATGAGCTGTTGTTCTTAAACCAGATTCGGCGTTAGCCATACAAACCCCTGAAGAATATAATATAATATTCAATTGTTCACAGTAACAGACAATTTTAAACATTCTTTGTCAATAAGGACTTGACCTACCTTTTATCCAGATATTTGATTAAGTTGTCCCCCTATAATCAACGTTCTATTATTGTTTTACTAGTTATCACTAATGGGCCTTCCCGGCGAACTGAATAACTGTGGTTTAATCTGGACACTTTAACCAACTTATTAAGGCGTATTTATATTTTCTCAAGTATGACTCAATAGGTTGTCAGGCTATCTTGGTATGTACAGCCCCTTGGGCAGAGAACAATTACTACTGGCTCTGCATTTCCACAACATTTTTAAGATCGTTCTGGGGGACATGGGGGTATTTTTTTTTATCTTTCTAATGAAAACGTCTTTATGTTAATCTAAACAGATGAACTTCACATTAGCTATTCTCATTTTGGTATTTCAACTGGTAATGAGTCAGCATATATGATAGACACAAGGTTTTTCCCATGGGTTGCTTCGGTTGATCTCTTCAAGGTTTATCCCTTATCCAAATTTGACCATAAAAAACTTACATTTGTGTACATCACCTCTGGCAACACCAGCTGATACCAATGTAGATGCAAGAGAGCATTTGGTAAAAGTGTATGCTGAAGCTTAAAAATATTCAAGAAAAGATTATATACTCTTGATAACACAAGCTTGAGATCATTACATTTTAACTCAGGTTCTTTATATTGTATTCAATAAAAACAATTCCTTGATTCCTTCCTTGAATTTGTTGAACATCTTCGTTGTCTTTACAGACGAAAAGCCAAGAAAATACATCTATATACAGATGGATTGATCTTACAGATTTATGTCCAATTTGTAAAAAATATAGTGATAGAATAGTAATCAACCTGAAACAACAACAAGAAGTAATACACAAAGAGTCTTCATTATGGCTGATTAAACAATGAATAAAGAAAAGTAAAATCACAATAGTTTTTATCAGATGTCACACCTTGAGAACTTAACAGTTGCTTGGATCATACGAATTATCGGTAGATGAAAGTCCGAAATTATCTTTTTACAAACGACACATTTTTTTTTATTAATGTAGGCTATATATTGATGTCACACTTGCTCGTTTGTTCACAAAAAGTTTCTGCTTACTCTACATGCTGTCTAATTTTTCAGTTTTTGTAATCTGGCCTACACCATAGTAAACAGAATTCTTTAATTTTGGTGAAATTGGATATTTATCACCAATTTACAGTATGGTGTCTATCTACATTTTTGAAAAGTTCTTTTCTTTTTTTAGTCAGAAGGTTTATATAACAGTAAATGTTGGTCTGTATGTAACTAATAAATCGCCGAGTACCATCATGCGCTCACTCTTCAGAACACAGATTTTTCATAATTAATTTTTTGTACTGATTTTTGATTACACTCGGATTTAAACATCGCATAAAATTGTATGGTTGAAGATGTAGATACGAACCTTTGATCATTGATAGCATTTCTCGACAGGTGTATTTCTTGTTGGTTTGTAGATAAGGGTGCTGTCTATTATTTTGGGTAGTAAAAAATTTGAAAAACCTCTCTTTTGCCTACTTAATATTTCTATTATCTTGGGTGCGCTTCCCAGTGTGTATATTCTTTGCTTCTGGTTGCTGTTATTGACAGGTAGACGAGGCACTATTTCCATAATCTAAAAACATAATGAAAGTTTGATAAACGCAACAATGATGTAGAGAGATACGCATACATCATCATTCGGCGTTAAATAGAGCAAATTTTTATCTGAAGTTAAAGAGGTAGGTAGGTAGGTAGATGACGAGTTAACGTTCGCTTCCAGCTGATGCTGATATCGCAAACTAGGTAGTTGTTGGTAGTCGTAGTAGTTGGTAGTTGGATTGGATCAAATTGGATGATTCGGTGTTGTTGGTTTGGTTGTTGATTCTTCGTTAGATCTGGTCGGGTCGAATGACATGGCGGTGAAACTCGGCCCTGGATGGTGTGGCGTGAGTTACTCCTTCATTCTTCCAAACTCGTTCTGATCATGGTATTTCTTGTTGATTGGTAGTCGAATGGTAGTCGTTGGTTTGGTTTGGTTTGGTTAGATTATCTGTTATCTGTTGGAAAACTCGAAGACCTGAAAAAAAAATGAAGTTAAAGAAGGGGCTATTAAGATAAATACACTTCTAGAGATGCAAACATCTGTAAATGTTGGTAACTGGCGAGTCAGAAAGTTTCGGACAAGAAGATCAGTTTATGATAAGACCTTCAGCACTCATAATCAACAAAGACCTAACACGTGACATTATCTTCATATGGCGTCAATTTATTTGCGATCTACTTTAATATATTGTTCTTCTAATCGCATAATCCTTTCAACATGTTTCTATGTCGACGTATTTTAAGTCATATAATTACTAACGGTACAAGTAACTTGCACATAAAACCACTATAATTGGTAATATTATACTAATGGTTAAAATACAGTCTTTAATTACTTAAAAACATTGTGAAAGATTTATCTTCTTAAGGATAATTTAATAAATCTTTCATCGGCCTTGGAGTCTATAAAAATATTATACATTTATCTTCATAGGCTAAATTTGGGGGATTTAAAAAAATTAGCTTATTTCAGTTCTGATATTTGAATTGGTTGGTAATTGTGCTAAAAAGAGTTCAGACAGGCAATCTGGAGATGGGTCATGTATAAATTGTAATCTAAAGTTTGTATTTTGAAAATCATTACTTCTAATCTGACTTATGGAAATATTGATTCATATGGTATGATGAACCAACCATGGCGTCTTCATTTTTTTTCAACTCGTTTCTGTTCATATTTAAGCTTTCACAATGAGTTAAAAGTCCTAGAGGTAGATGATAATGTAACGTATTGCACGACATCGATATGTTTTGCCTCATTGGCTTCGAGAGGTGTTTCTTAATTCCATTATTTCGATTATTTTAAAGTGTCTAAGTCACACACTGAACACGGGGCTACGTAACTATCATAGTAAGTCTTATTATTATTTGCATATTCGGTGTTGCCAAATAAAATTTGAACACATAGACAAGCAAGGTTTAAGAACTAATGACTGACCTGTACGCTTAAGCAAAGATAATAGCATTATTCTGTAAATGAAATAACTATGTTTTTGTATGTTTCAGAAAGAAGAAAAAAATAAAGACATATCTTACTACCATTCACTATTGGTGAAATTATCAATATGAACATTTTGTTTTCAGGCTTACCACACATTTATCAATGTTTTTATTTATTCACTGAATAGGAGAAAAGCTGGAATAATAATAATACTGAGGAATAACAAAAAAAAAAACATTTCAAAGAAGCGTATATTAATGTGAATTAAATTCAAAGAATGCTTATCTGTTTCCTAATGATGTTATGTACAGTGGTTCAAGGTTGTGTTAAAGGGATATATTCGTACTGAATCTGATCACATCTGATAGAGATAAAATTATGTAACCTGAAAAATTGGTAACAAATAAGAGATCTTTCTGATATAGTTTTATTATGTTTTGTTTATTTATTATTATTTTTTTCCATACGTTGACCTGGCGACAGAAAAAAACCATTTTGAATCAAATTTAAGAATTGCTGAATCAAAAAATACTTGACGTGATTTTACCTGGACAGTGTATTTCAACAGTGAACGTTTGTGAAATTATTTACAACTTCAGGATTGGCATTAGACATGAAGTTTATAAAATACTTGGTGTAACAAGGACAAGTTATGATTCATGGAATTGGTGTTCTACTTCCCTCTGATCACACACTGGTCATACACTATCCTTATACTCTAAACCTTGCCAATTACCTTTAATGTACATTGGAGTAGTGCCATTTGTCCTGAATTTAACTATAGCCTGTTTATATTTGTCATTTTGAATTGAAAACAAATACCTTTCTCGTTCTAATTCTACTTTATATGAAAAATATTTGGTTAATAAATTACTTCATTCAGACTAGAATGCCAAGTTTGTCTGCAGCAATCACGAATTCTCTGTTTGAAAACATATATAAATCAATTTACATTGCCTACTCCTTGGCAATTCCAAACAAATCCAAACCCATACGTAAAGAGTAGACATTTTACGTGTGTTGTCCAGTTCTTACATAACATGACATAACATAATGCATCTGAATTATAGACACTGTTACACTGAGAATCGTTTAGACAATGGACAAATTCATTAATGTACAGGGACTAATCATGTATTAGGGACTAATCATGCACCCTTGCCGTGTGCCAATATTACAACTGAACAAATTCGTTAGTCCGCTAGTAGTTTGGACACAGGATTTACACGTTTTATACATGTATTCAATTATATGTAAGAATTTCCCCTGTATTCCTCGGTATCTCAAAACCTGTCAGAGCAATGGAGGTTGTACAGTGTCGAAAGCAGATTTGAAATCGATAAATATGACGTAAAGGCACCCTCTAAGTTTTGAAATATATTTGCTTATACACCCTTGAAGGTTGAATATATTATAATTGTTAATTGTGCTATAACACTTTCGAAATCCAGCTTGATATTCAACCAATTGCTCAGTAACGTTACACCATCTTGTTATTCTAATATTTAATGTTTTTATGAAAATTTTCCCCACTACAGGAAGGAGGGATATACCTCTAAAGTTTTCAGGGGAGTCTTTCGGGCCCTTTTTATTCACTGGGCAGATAATGGCATTGTTCCAGTCCGCCGGGTAAACTCCCGTGCTATACACAAGATTGAAAATATGACAGAGAGTTGGCAAAAGTAATTGTTTTGACTTCTTTATCATTTGTACACATATTCCATCTATATCGGTAGCCTTTTCAGATGACATAAGAGATATGCTTTTATCGCTTTCAGGAGGTGTTATTTGCAAGTTTAAAATATCGAGATCAGGACCACATACACGTATTTGTTCATTTTCGAGGGTAGTAAAAAGTCCATCAAGGTTAAGGTGAAAAATATATCCCTTTTTCAGCTACATACTAAGGTAATTAAATGCTGTCACTCATCAAATTCATTAGTTTCAGTCTGCATTTTTTCTGAAAATTCACGATTAATCACTAACAATGTTAATGTTTTGCACAAGTTTTCACCAAAACATATACGAACTTCAGCTCCCTGTTTATTTTTATTTTTTTAAAAAATGGACAAAAAGTAAAAACATAAATATAGTGGAATGATATGCTTGAATAAGGAAAACGTCTTCTAACGAATATATAAAATTGAATTAACTCATAACAAAGCAGGTCCTTCTGTTATTTTATAATTTTTTGGTTTGAATTGTTTTGTTTTCTTTGCCCGATGAGACTTAAATTCTATGTTGACACAATGTCAAAATCTTCAATGTTAACATTTTTAACTGAATTGTTACGCCAATCTACATGTAAATTGCTGTTTTTATTTTAGAGTTAAGAGAATTTAAAAACAGTCAGGACGTGTGACACATTAGATTTCCACAATTACGTGAATGCCATCTTGTGAGGCAAAGCAAGAGCCCGTGGAATTAGGGTCTAATAAGGAGGTTTACTAGCGTGATTTCTATGACTCGCAATTTCTGAAGATTATGCCGCTTCTAGCAACAACTGATCAGATCCGACACAGTAAACGGAGTAAACAAAAAGGTAATATCCAACAATCCAATGACCAACTACTAGCAACTGCGCATTGCAAATGCTATGATTTGAATTAGAATTTAGAAGAGATGAAAATTGTAACGTCGACAAACGGTATAGGCCAACCATTTAGAAAGTAAAATCTGGACTGAAACTCCCAGATCTGAGGAAAATGTCACAATTATGTCGGGAGGTTGAAATTAGGACGGGCAAAGCTACAACAAATTCTGGAATTCAAGCGAGATCCAGCGAAATTGTCGTTTTCTTACAACGTTGGCCTCACGATTTCCTCAACATACAAGTAAGTTTATACTATCACTTCGCTGATTTGCCGCTTAATCTTTTTGTCTCAGGGGAATTGGATATTTTAATAAATTTACAAAAATTGAGTGTAGAGAGAGAAGAAAGACTAGCTTGCTCAAGAAGATATGTCAGGAGTCAAGTGAACCTATTGACATCTATATATAGAGCCATTATTGTAATGAAAATTATGGCATGACGTGCCCTCCATACCAGTGATGATGAAACGCACGTGATCGATCTACGGCACAAAGAAAACACGTATCCCTTGCAACGTGAAAAACATGTTTTGAGACCTGTCAGTGTATTTAGTAAACTTTACAAGTAATTGTTTACTGTCAGAATTTAGCAATGGCTCAACTCAGTACAGCAAAAACATGGCAAGTTATTGGCTTGATATATGTATGTCGATGAGAAAGGCTGGATTGCAGCTGAGTCACCATCCTTCAACCATCAGTTATTTATTACGAAAGCATCGTCAAACAAATGATGTCAGGGACCGCCATCGATCTGGTAGATATGTACATCAGCAAGAGAATGTGCTCTTATGAAGACTCTACGACGCTTTTCTTTTGCACCAAGCACCGTTATGCCACTTAGGTGCAGTTTAGCGCATAAAATAGCAAAATAGCTCATGCCACAGAACTGTCCGTAAAGGCTGTTGGATACCTCTGCTTTCGCGTAGACACGAGGCAGCTCGATTGACATGGTGTAAAACACGTCATCACTGGACATTACATCATGGTGGAAAGTTCATTGGCCTGATGAGAGTCGCTTTCTGTTGTTCATATCAGATAGTAGAGCACGTGTTTGGCGACATAATAACATGGCATATGCTGAGAAGAACATTCTGGAACAAGTTTGCTTGAAGCCAGCCAGAAGCCCAGACCTCAGCGCAATATGCGTGCAAAGGTCTGGCCATACCTACAGCATAAGCGGTCGGCCTCGGAGTGTGCTTCATATATGGACCGACTCGGATAATTCATTTGACATCGATTAATCTCGAAATTTAACCTCCTTTAAGGAATAGAACGTCTTGGAATACACTTGTCCTACGTCTTTTATTTGTGTTTAATAGTGACCATTGCTTAAAAAAGTATGCATACCACACTTTATCAAACTAAAAACTATATTCAGAATTTAAAAAATAAGTCAGCAATCGATGAATCCGTTCAGTTTGAGAAGAAAAGAAAAGTTAATACTTTAATTTTATTCGTGTTTACCAAATTTTATATGCTGTAAAATTCCCGTTTATACTAAATTAAACGTAGACTTTCTAAGACAGAAATTGGCAGGTTATAAAGATTCTGTTATATGCGATCTTGTACAATTTGGCTTTCATGTAGGTTTTTCTTGCAAATTCCCACAACTTCAGAATTTCAGAATCACAGGGGACCTTCCTAAAATGGCACTGAACGTAGAGTAATAAATGGATTTAAGTTTCCTTCCAGGAATTTCTATGAATAATGGTATTTTAAAGATTCCTACTTACGCGAACGTGAAGACTTGAAATACCCCATTGTGGCCGATTTAGTTGATATCACCAAGGACGGGAGCTGCTTACCATTTAAAAGAGACTTAAAGAGAGCCTATCGTCAAATCCCAATTTATCTGGTGATTATAATCTGGCAGTAATCCCATGGTATGGAAAAGTTTCTCTGACAAGTTTCTAAGCATAGGTCTTCGGTCAACTGGTCATGGATAAAGCAGTGTTTCTTTTCTTTTTCATACCTAAAATTGTATTCTTAGTGTAACCAGAAAGCGACTTCAAGAAATTGCAATCTTAATCACGAATTAGTTAACATTGGAACTAACATTGCAATCTGAAAGATATCCAATCCTTACTTGGGAAACTTCAGTTTGTGGCATCTTGTGTTAGACCTGGGTGTTTGCTTTTAAGTCGCATATTAAATTGGTAAATGACCTTGGCCCTACTCGTATGACATGCCTGGCTACGGATTGGTCTGCTGATCGTATTGTATTCTTCTTGAGGCAAAAGTACGGTCAGTGTTTCAGTAAAACAACCACTACTCTAGTCTAGATTCTGAACGAAACATCAATGACAGATATCAATATAAGAGGACTTCTCAACCTTATGAAAAAAACCTAGGTTACAGGTTCACAATCATTCACGTGTCAGACAAACAGACCCTTGTACCAGATGTAGCTTTAAGACACCCTGTTAGAGCACCAGATCATCTGCACTTACCGGGAGAACCATCAGAACCAAACTCACTTGTTTACATGACTGCTCATTTTCACGAAACGCTCTTCAGCCTACATATAGAGACTAATGATACAGCTAATGATACAGTTGCCGCTGTCACTAGTGCCCGAATTTTGTTCCCATAGGTCATGGTCCGTGCCACATTCGACATTGTAAAATTCGACTTCATCTAAGACAGTTTCACAGGTATCCCAGATTCCGGCCCCACCATCACCACGGGTATCATAGATTCCTGTCACACCCTCACCACGGGTACACCTTATTCTTGTCCTGCCATTACAAAGGGTACCAACTGATTCCTTTCCCGCCATCACCACAAGGTCATAACCACAGGTACCCCAGATTCCTCACCTGCCATCACCGCGAAGCTAACTCAATCAGCTGCACTGAATGAATCACCTTCCAATCAAATGCTGACCATTTGTCCGCGAAAGACGGCATTCAAAGGTTTAATTAAAACGTTCCGAGGGGGGCGAAAGACGGCATTCTTAAGGGAGGAAAGTCAGAGCCATATATTGACATATTGACTTTCTTAAGCAGTGATTTTGGACACTATTGAGGTTGCTCTACAAAATAAGCGAAAACAGAGAGTAGGCATTCAGATTACCCCTAATAGCATCTACACACCAGGCATAATAGAAATTTATGAAAATTGAGTGGCTTATCAGCATCTCTTGAGACTATAATAATGTATGTTAAATTTTTAACCGGTAGCCTAGTTTTAG